CCAGTAGTGCCCAGAGCGGCGCTACGAGACCAACCGGCAGCGCCCCAGCTGCTGTACCACAGGCATCTGGAGCAAAGCCGCGAAGCACAGGGGCAGCAGGACAGGCCAGATGCGCCGTGGCTGTCCTGCTGCCCTCGGGCTCCGCGGCTTTGCTCTGCCTTGCTCCCCGTCTCCCTGGTCTGTTGGTCTCCAGCAGACCAGAGAGACGGGGAGCAAAGCCGCGGAACACGCCGGCAGCGGGACAGCCGCGGTGCGTCTGGGCTGTCCGCTGCCCGCGTGCTCTGCGGCTTTGCTCCCCGTCTCCCTGGTCTGCTGGTTTCCAGCAGACCAGGAGCAAACCCCGTTCGTAACTGTGGATCCGACTTAAGTCGGATCCGCGTAACTCGGGGACTGCCTGTACTATTTTCTCCAGAAGAAAGGCTACATAGGAAAAAGAATGATGACAAAAGGGAGAATATTGTTCAACTATCAAATCATATGTTCTTTAGTGACACGATTGTCTCTACTAGAAGAGGAAAAAACAGATTGCTCTTCCTATGACTCCAGTGTACAATGCATATGGTCCCTGAGACATCAGATATGAATCACCTTGACATTTAGGAAAAAGTTCAACCATGGGGGGGGACATAGTGACCAGCAGGTTGTTTAGCTGGAATCTATCCATCTGAGTCTGAATTTGAAATTTCCCATTCTCCAATTGATCCTTTTACCCCTCCTTAGCCTGGATGATTCTTGGAAATAACACAGACACATAAATTAATAAGGAAGCCTATTAATAAGGAACCCCATGCTTTCCCACTACAGCTACCACAAAACTAAGAGAAAAGTGTGAATAAATCTTCTCTAAAACAAGGAAAAGACTACAATAGAAAAACAACAGTCACATATTGGAAAGTTTTCAGACTCACAAAAATGGGTTAGGGGAGATGATTCCATCATTGTGATTGGAGGAAGGGGTAGAATCAACAGATAAAGGCTCTGACATAGTAACAATGATACTTAGCCTACATAGTAACATGCACATATTAACATCACAACACAAATGTATTAGTTCTATCTTAAAGCAAGACTCGGATATTAAGGGACTTGCTTATAGAGTTCGGATCTGATTCCTTCAGTTCTTGGTTTCTAGCCACATGCTCAGTCCTCCCAATTATGCTGGTTCGTTGCCAATTCCTGCTCTCCTACTGTGCAGGGTACATCCTTGTTAACCTCCTGTAGGAAAGGGCTCACCACACTCAGTTTGATGTTAGTTCCCATATCCCAAGAGTGAGTACATATGGGATAAGAGTTGAAGTGCGTACCTTATACAAAAATAGGTTTTAACACAACAATTCATGTAATATCTGTACTTTTGACGTTCAAAATTAAGCCTCTTAAACTATACTTGAATCATATCAAGTTTACTATCTATTAAAATTATGACTATATTGTATATTATTTTACTGGATAGTGCTATAGGCCACACTAAAACCATAATCATCTCCTTAACAGTGCTGTACAGAATGTTAAACATCTGATAGTCAAAAGTAGAAGAATGCAGCACAAATATTTCTTCAACGGGGCTGTTAAATTTCAATAAATCAACTAATCGAGTAGTCGATGGAATTTCCATCGACTACACAATTAGTCGATAAGGGAGGTGGGGCACTCACTATCCCCACTGCACCTCTGCTTTTCAAATATAGTATGAGCTGCCTATAGCTCTTACTACATTTAAAAGGCAGAAGAGCAATAGGGACTCAAGCAGTCCCCGCTCACCTGGGGTTCCGCCTTGCCCTTTGAAATGTAGCAAGAGCCCCGAGGGGGAACTACAGCAGTCGGACAGGTGCCCCAAGCCTAACCATGAGCCCCTGCATGGAGCCGATGTTGGGGGGAACTAGCCTTTAAGTCAGCTCCCCCCAGCACTGGCTCCTGCTCCACGCCCCTTGCTGCCTCTCTCTGATAGAAGCAGCAGGCGGGGAAAAGCAACTAGGCGAGTCACTACTTGACTACTCAATAAGCGTTTGCTTCTCGGGCAGTCGACTAGTCGCTTACATCCCTACTCTACGAAGTATATAAAATCCTATGTTCTCTGTAGTCTGGCGCTTCAGTAGTTTCTATTTTACAAGGTACAGTACTACATCTTACCACTGTAAAAGTACAAAGCAAAATAAAATCAGCACCCTGCAAAGCTAGTGACCAAACTCATTGTTTTAGATTCCCCACAGAAGTAGGTCAATGGGAGCAAAACGCTCCAATTGGCTTCTCTTACTCCTTGTGAGGAGTTCTTACTAGACCTGCTAAACTGAATGCCAAAAGATCGATCTCCGGCATGGAAAGTGGAGACATAGCTGTAGATACGTTTAGTTTCAATCGCATGCTTAAAGTTCAGCAGATGTGTTTGCAGGAGTAGGGCCTAAATCATAGAAATACAAACTGTTCTGAGGGATGAGGGGAGAGACTTACCTCCATTAAACTTAAATGTATTCCAATGAGGTAAGGCATCGGGGCACTGTGAAGAGAAACAAACAGCCTATTTATATTCGGATAATGCTGGAGATTAACAACACACACACACTCAAAAAGCCAGCTGTAATACACACAACAGAGATACAGGGTTAAATTGTATTTAAAAATAAAAATCCAGATGCAACGTTCCATTTGAGGCAAAAAAATGTCAGTTTTATTTTGAAATCCCATCTCTTAAATTTTAACTTTAATTTTAACAATTTTCCACTGCAGCTTGTAAGGTGAAGTTGTCATTCCTTTTTTTTTTTTTTTTTTTTTTTTTTAAAGGGCTGTTAAAGGAGGGATGCTACCAAACATACTATTTTATTATGAAGGACATTATGGACAACGTTGGATCTTCTCTTCTTCAAGAAACATCATTTAGAGAGGTTTACCCATATGAAACATGTAGTTAAATTACTTATATGCACCACCCATTGGGACGAGCTCTTAATCCTTAGGCTGATACATACCAGAAAGAGAGCATTTTAATATTAATTTATTGTTGCACTTTACTAGATCCTGATACAGACCCCCATATTATAGACAGCATCAGAAAACAGTGCTGTTTGGAATCTTCTAGCTATAATGAGAGCCACCATGACCACCTTCAGAGATATCAGTGGTTTAAAAAAGGCACTACGTTTGATATACCAATGGATTTTTAGGGCAAAATGCTGCATTTAGAGACGGGTGTGCAACTTCCATTAGGCACACAGAATGTTAGCACATCAGGGCATGAACTAATTTACTCTACTTCTGTTGTACTGTGCTGCATACATTTGCCAACAATCAACAAATAACAAGCTATTACAGATCCATCAATAGCTATTAGCCAGGATGGTGTTCCTAGCCACTGTTTGCCAGATCGCTCAATGATTCCCTGTTCTGTTCATTCCCCCTCTGGGGCACCTGGCCCTGGCCACTGTCAGAAGATAGGACACTGGGCTAAACAGACCTTTGGTCTGACCCAGTCTGGCCATTCTTATGTCAATATAAAACAAGAAGGATCTTTAAAAGTAATGAAGTATCTTTTGTGCACATGGTTTGGAAAGTCAGACCTGACTTCTAAAAACATTTTGAAGGGAGGTACAGATGCCTTTGGAAATCTTGGACAGTCTTTGGAGTCCAGGTTTGCACCCCAGCAACATTCTGGGTACATATTTGAGTGTTGTGCATTGTCCATTAAGTATCTGAGGCAGGCAGTGATGCTCTCACTGTGAGGGATGTTGGTGTCTGGGAATACGACCTCCACAGTAGCAAGGACAGTAGTCTGAGGGAAGTGGTTAATGTTGTATTGCAGATATTGTTGTATCCTGGTGGAAGCTGACTCTAGTGTGATGACTAGTGTAAGGAGGATTCCTACGAGTCCTAATATTCCTTCTGTTAGAGTGCCATGGCTAGAAATAGTGGATATGCCCGGGTTCCCTTATTTGTGTATCTTGGGAAGCAGGTAAGATTCCTGGGATGCGTTCCCGGGGGATGAGATAGTAGAATTTCTCTTAGCATTGTCTGGGGAAGAATTTGAAAATATCCTTAAATTCCTGAGCAAACTGGGCTGTGGGGTTGCCTGCAAGTTCTTTACAGTGGGTGGTGTCAGAGAGGTATCGGTTGGCCTTGATGACACAGCCTTTGTGATAAGAAAGCTATGAAGGTGCTCCCCCACCTCGCTGGTTTGGTCTCTCTTTGGTGCTTGCATTTCAAGGACTGTACAGCTGTCCTCTTGACAGTGGAGAGTCTATGATGTACGTGATATCTGTTCATATTTCACAGTCAACTTTTTTCTATTGACTATTGGTGAGGACCTGGTACTTGAGGGTAGCGTCTTCATTGTTGCAAAGACACCACCCACAACATAGTGCATGCTACTGAAATTTGGGTACTAGTAAGAACACTCCTGTTTTTTCCCCTGGTGTCCCAATGCAGTATTCAGTTTCCACTTACCAGAGACATTGCTATGTTAGAAACTCGCTCTATGAGAATTTGGGGGTTCATGCCTTACTGGTTAGCAGTAGTATTTGAAACCACTCTCTTGTATGTTGTAGCTTTTGCCATATTACAAGATGTACACAATAAAGTTCAAGGCTTACATGGGAATCATTATGGAATCATTTTGCACGTTTTAATTGCAGGAAATAGGTATTTCCTTTGCACATACCGCTTCTTTTCTGAATGGCCGCATTCCAGGGGCAAGGAAAGACCCAACAATTTTACACTCAAAGTGTAAACCAGCAGATTAGCTGCCAGCTGCACAAATGCTCAACTTCCTTGTGTGTCTAGCTGTTCTGTCCCAGCCTTCTCCAGTATACACTGAAATGAATGTGTTTCTAATTAAGGCGCTTCGAGAACACGACAGCTTCAGTGTCAAAAATACAAAGTCTGAACCTCGGCAGGAAGTCTTAAGACTGCAAACGTCTCATCTAGTGGAACCTTGGCTAAAGAAATGAAAGGAAGCAGGGAAGGTGCACTACTCCAAAAACCTGGCCATTTATTAACGTGTCCAGAAGCACAGCCTGCCACAGGCCATAGATAGACTGAAATCTGTAGAAAGTTAATTCAAGATTAAAAGTCAATCTTTCACCCTTCCACTGTTAATCAACAAATGGACTAGGGAGAATAATCTATTTAATAAGAATGTCAGAACTGCCGAAACCAAGTGCCGACAAGGCAGACATGGTTAAGAGCTCTCTGAGTCATGCTGAGTGTAAGCTGACAGCTATCCCTGAGTACAAGTCAGAAAAAGAGGCTGAGATTTCAGTTTGGACAGATGGAGACAGGCATAAGTACAGAGGTAGATTGGTGTCTTTAGCATAGAGATTGTAACTGAATTTGTGTCTGCAGATACAATTATGGAAATAAGTTGAAGAGGGAGAGGAGAACAGGATGAAGCACAGAGCCCCATGGAACCTGTACAGAAAGTTGCAAGGGGGATGAGAAGGATCCACTGAAGGAGCAATGAGAAAAGCAGAACCACCAGACAGTAACAGATACAGAAGCAAAGGGAGGACAAAATTCCAAGAAGAGCACAGCTGACTGCAGCCAAGACACTGACAAGTCAAGAAGGATGAGGATGAACTATTGGTCCTGAGCTTTGGCGAGAGTAGGTTTCAGTCGAGTGCAAGTAGTAATAGCCAAATTGGAGAGGCTCTAAAATGGAACCGGAAGGGAGGAACTCCAGACTGTAAAACACATTCAATGAGCTCAGAAACTAAATGGATATGGGCAGTGGTTGGAAAAACAAGCCGGATTAAGGGGCTTTTGGTTTATTTCTGAGATAGAAGAAACTAACGCATGCTTGTATTATGAGTAGAACTCGGCCAATTTCAAAGATGTGAAAGACATGTCATGGACTATGAAATAAGCCCTTCCCTGTGAACTGGGGGAAGTCACTTAACCACTTGGATTCAGAGACTGCTGAAGTGATAATCTCACATTTAATAGCCGTAGCTTCTTCTGCTGGTGTAGAAAAAATATTTTCATCCTTTGGACCAATTCATTCCAAACCGAGAAACTGTTTGGGTTCTGAAAAAGCAGGGATGCTTGTACTTCTTTTCCAGATTATGAACAAACAGGAAACTGAAAGTGAAGACGACGACAGCTGCAGAAGCCAATATTTTAAATTTCTCATGTTGACCTGGCTGACCGCTAATTTAATTTTTCAGTTTTAAAATATTTAACTATTTTAGTTAAAAACAATTTAAAAAACCACCCGATTTTAAAAAACGTGAATGTTTAACTTTATTCAAAAATTCATATACTCGTTTTGTTAAAATATTTTATGTTCGCTGTTGAAAAATTCTAGAATACAGAACATTGTTGTTTTAGTTAAATACAAATTTAAATCTGTCTGATGAGGTTCTCCTCCTAATACAATATGGTAAGAAAATCCTCCAAATATTAAAGATTGACCTGTTTAATTAGAGGTAGTTCATCTCCCACTGACTTCATCACTATCTGATTCAATTACCTTTGGCAAACGAAATAACCAATCATTCATTTTCTGATATAGTTGTAAAACTAATCTGAAAAGTTTTCAAAATAAATCACTGCTTAAAAATGTATGTGTACCACCTAAAAACAAAACCTACATCTGTGTCTGAGTTATGAAGAGTATGTTTTAAGGTTGTCGCAACCAACAAGAATGCACATTTATGGCGAAAAACATGATTAGATTGAGTCCTCCTGATTGATCAAATTGATTTAAATTAAATCCACTTTAATGGCCACTGTTCTGAAACTTTGAGAGAGATTCAGAAGAGAAATGTAGCCCATAGCACTACCATTAGCATTCTTTTAGCAATTAGCAGTAACACAGTGATTCTGTTCCGTCTATAAAGCATTAACTTACGCAGTCAGCACAAGATTTTGAGGCTTTCGTGCACTGGATAAGTGACTCTTTTTGTACAAAACAACACTAGATAACCAGGAGAACACTGAACTAATAGTAGGCTTGGTATTTTAGGATGGGAATGTTGGCAGATGCTTAATCACGAGCGTACCTTGACAATGACTTGAGATATCTGATAATAAATTAAAAGCATTAGTATAAAATCCAATGGGATATTGACACCCTAACATTTTTAGGGTGAGGAAGTTAGAGATAGACAAAGGAAGAATATTCCTGGCAACTACCAAGCCCTACAACAGGCTAGAGCACCATATAAGGGCGAGATCTGGATTAGGGATGTAATAGTTTAGTCAAAAAGCTTATTGGTTAATGCTATAGACTACATGCATTTCTCCACCAGTAAATTTTTTTTAGCAGGCTGGCCAGCAGCTTGGCTCAGGCCTGGCTTGTGCCAGGTCCGGGACCTGCCCCTGTTGTAGCTCTGCATTTAAACTGTATTAGGAGCTGGGTGGGCAAGCAGCCTGGCTCAGTTCTGGCTCACGCTGGGTCTAGGAGCTCAGACACCTCCTCCTGGACAGGTAGCAGAGGCAGCAGCGTGGGGCGACAAGCAGCTGGTCTGCGTGATGAGCTAGTTTTTGAACTGGCTCCCCTCGTGGACCAGCTCCTGCCTGGCACACCTCCTCCTGGACAGGTAGCAGAGGCAGCAGCGTGGGGCGACAAGCAGCTGGTCTGCGTGATGAGCTAGTTTTTGAACTGGCTCCCCTCGTGGACCAGCTCCTGCCTGGCACCCTGCGCTGCTGCCTCTGATATAGAGGCAGCAGTGCAGAGTGGCAGAAGGCTCCTCGGGAACGGGGCTGGAGTGCACTGGCTGCTGGCCCCAACCCCAGGGACTATAGAATAGTCAAGTAACCGATAAGAATTCATGAGGTTAATGGACTGTTCAGTGAACTGATATTTAACATCCCTAAACTGGATCACTGGACTCATAAATTACCATTTGTTTCTCACCATGAGATCCCCAAGAAGGGCTCTAAGAATGTAAAGAATGGTATAAGATATTAGCTTAACTTTATACTAGTGCTATCTTTTTATGTGGTTTGAAGCATATGTATTGTTACTAATTGTGCCAATAAATTTGGTGAAAGCTTTGCTTTATCCTCAGTCTAAGTTTGAGACTATTTCCCAAACACAGGACAGAAATATTTATTGAATGCTTCTGCCTTTTCTGCATTATTACTGACATTTTCTCCTTTTTCCTCTAGTAATGGACCTATGCCATTGTCAGGAATGTTTTTGTTCCTATATATTTCAAAACCTCCTTATTGTCCTTAACTTTGCTGACCACAGAATTCTCCTTGTGTCCCTTTGCTTCCCTTACCAATTTTCTACAATTTCTAACCTCTTATTTGTATTCATTATTCTCAACTTCCCCTTTCTTCAAAATACTTTTTTAACTGTTCATAGTGGTTTTCTAAACCAGACAGTGGGATTTTTTTAAAAACCAGCATCACCGTCTGCCTCATTCGTGAATTTTTGGGAGTGAATCAAAGTGTCCTTAAATGACTGCCAATTATAACATCTTTCTGATCAAATTCTTCCTCCCAATCTGACTCGCGTTTCAAGCTTTGTAAATATGGCCCTATATAAGAACAAAGGATATATTGCTGGTCTGGACTTTATTCTGCTTACACAATATAAATATGATCAAGTGATCCCTTGTACCCAAGATAACATCCATTTTTTGTTCTGTGATCAGTTCTTTATCTGTAGTAAATAATTCCCATGTTGACTACAACACTTTTTGAGCTAGGATGTGAAACATTTACTAGAATGAAAGCCACAAGCATGTTTTCCGATATTTACAAAAACTGGAGATGTCTGTCTCCTTTTATTTTTTCTACCATCTGCTTTAGTTTCTCCTCTTTTAAATTTGTATGTCACAGCTGCAAAGTAAAGAATCAGACAGTAACTGAATTTAAAATTTAATCAAAATTAAAGCCTCAAGTTTAAAAATAAGTCAGTTCCAATTCACTTCTCCTAACATGCAAAGGCCTATAAAGTAACAACACAGCTTTGAAGCAGACAGTAAAAAGTGGATTTATTAGTTTTCATGGCCAAAATCACCTTTCTGCATTCAGAGTCACAAAATAGATGGAAGTTATTTTAGGAAACATATTTATGGCATGTGAATTGGTGCTAAATTGATTTATTCAGAAAATTACAGTGTGTGATTGCTACTCTAATTAAAGTTCACATCAGGCTAAGATAATGAGTTGTTGTGTTTGTGAATGTGCAATTAGAGTCTTCCCGATAATTATAGGTTTTAAAATCATACTTTTAGCTCCCTAGCTTGTTCATTCGTAATAGTCACAGACTGAAATGCTGTGAAAGAGTCCATTCAGTCTGGCTCAGCTATTTGTATCTTTATTTCTTTTCGTACGTGGCCTATGTGTTTGCTTTGTGCACACCTGTGCTCCCAACTGCGGGGTCCGGTCTTAGCCCCTTTTAACATGTCTTTGTCAGGAAGTTGATGAATACCTAATCTTCAAACCCAGTGTAAAAGCCTCTTGTGGCCCACACTGTTGTCCTGAAAACTCCGAGCAGCATGTACCTGAAGAAAAAAACTGACATTAGCAGCCTTCATGTGTTAATTACACATGCAAAGCCTATTATGTACAGAAAGGGCACCTGCTGGCAGTGAAAATGACTAGAATCTGCCCTTCCTGTGCAGTGAGTAAATTGAAGGTTCATTTCTACAGGAGATAATAGTTTTTAGATTCCATTCTGTGTATCCCCGACATGGGCATGTACTTAACATTTAAATCATCTGCAGAGGAACAAACCTCCTTTAAATTTACATGTTTCAGGCTCCTACCACTTCACTTAAAATGCTAGTTATCCCTGCTGGTTCCTTATTTAGAAGCACTGCATAGGCTTTTGCTAAGAATGTGGAGAAAAGTCACAGAGACCAATATAATAAAAGTTATTAGCACAGATTCCAATTTCTTAAGATTTATGGAACCTAATCGAAGCCACAGACGTTGGCTTAAGGTGATAATTTTTTATTAGATTATCTGTTTTTCTCAATAGCAGTCTTTATTTAACCATTGTTTTATTTTCTGTCCTCTGAGAGGTCAAACATACTGATTTTTTTTGGTAACACCACATTTTCTGGTGAAGTATGAAAAAACATAATTAAAACAGAAAAAACATTTAGCACATAAGCATGAAAAACCAATGATGGCTGCACGATTCAGCTAAACAGTAGCACGGTTCTGGCCACTGTTTATTAGATACAATTTAGTGGCACACTATGGGCTGCCATTAGCCTGAGCGTTCCTACAGCATGTCTTTTTAACATGCACTTTTCCTCCTGACTCTCACACATCATATGCATACGTAGGATGTCTTAGCTATTAGAACTGAAAATATATTGTTTCAAGCATAACATTTAAGGCAGGTCAGAGAGAGAGAAGACTGATTTTTGAGTAAAAATCTGTTCTGTGGAGATGTAGTTCTTGGTATGACACTATTCATATGAATTTACGTGAACCAGAGTAGTTCTTAATTCACTCCCCTCCCCAATCACAGAGTGAATATGACTTCTGGGCTTTTAGTATTAAAACAACGAAGGATTGGCAGCATCTCTACTGGTGATCACAGTCAGGGTTAAGTAGGCACTTTTCAGCATATTAATTTTTATTCACAACATCCTCACTTCCTATGCCCCCTTTTGTCAGTTTCACTTCACTCCCTGATGTAAAATGAACAGAGAGGAGTACAAAGCTAAGTAGGAATGGGAAAGGGGAGAGATTAGGAGCAGCATGAACTTAACGGGCAAGTTTTAAGTGTATTGCCAGTTTAAAAAAAAAAAGCCAAATTGCAGGAGCTTTTCTCAAAATGTGACATAAAATGTGATCATGTAGTCAAAGATCACTTTATCTTCTACTGTATTTCTGAGAGAGTTTTGTCTGTGTCTGTCTGTCCGAAAACTCTTCCTAAATGGTAAGAGCTAGGACCACCAAATTTGGTATTCCACTACCTCTTATAACTTAAAGCAAGGTCAGGGTTTGGTTGTGCCAGGAAAATGGTATGTGGCTGGAATGCGACTGCTTCTCAAAAAAAACACAAAAAAGAGACAATCATCAGGCACATGAAAGGGGCTGGCCCTAAGACTGCCACCCCCTAGGTGTCCTTTAGAGAGGATGGGGGAGGGGCTAAAGGCCTCCCCGATTTGTGCAGGAATATTGCTGGCTGTTCCTCTTTGTCGAGGAGCAAGGGGAAAGAGCACAGTTTGCTGGAGAGAGAGAAAAGGTTTACACCCTCTTCCAAATTATACACCAATTTCTACCCTTACACTGTAAAATGCAAGATCATAACAGGAAAGCACCAAAGAAAAAGTAAACTAGCGAATTAGGAAAGCAATAGGAAAACAGAAGCTCTCTTTTTCTGCCTCTATCATGTATTGTTTGATTTTTCTTCATTTAAAATGTCAAACAAAATGCATGCTGCAATAGTGCATCTTGAAGATCTAAAATTAGTAGATCTTAAATTAGTATACAATAGCATGCTATAGTAAGAAGTCATGTTAGAACAACTAATAAGACTGGCGCTGTTATATTATGTTATGAAAACAATGCATTGGACTTAATGAATCAACTACTTACTTAACATACACATCTATCTTTTTAGACCAACAGTTACACCATAAAAAGACTTCAACCTTAAAATGCACAGCTTCCTAACAACGGTTTGGATGTAAGGAATCTACAATCTTACCAGCAGTAGTCCAACAGATGCGGGGGTAGAACTGGAATGTAAACATGTTGCCAGAACATTGGGTAGAGCATAGCTGCAGACCCATGAATGCAGGCAGTTAACTGAAAGACATAAAACCAAACAAGCACATCAATAAGATAAAAGTTAAGCTTAAAGGAAATGGCTGGCCAAATAAATAATATAAGAAAATATTTGGTTAGAAGTAGCCACTGTTTTTGTCTCTGAACATACATTGCTACCAATGGGTGGAGTAACACTGGTTCATGGTGACGGATGTTTGACTTAATTTTGTTAAAATCTGAGAATGTATTTTACCCAACACACACAACCTGCAAACAGCATTTTGTGTCTTCCTTGATGCAACAGAAGCAGAGAAACAGAATTAGGGGGACAAGGGAAGTGGGAGGAAATAATACAAAAATGACAGAAAACGCCTGATCCTGGCAATTTCCACCTAGTAAGTAGCTTGGGGTATGTCTACACAGCAGCATTATTTCGGAATGACTAGTGTTATTTCAAAATAACTTAGTCCACATCTACACAACAGGCAGTTATTTCGAAATAATGTCAAAATACTATCAAGCTGCAGGGCTTCTTCTCCGACTCCTATAACCCTCCTTGTAGGAAGAGTAAGGGAAGTCGGAGGAAGAGTGCTCTATTTCGAAATAAGTGCTGTGTAGAGGCTTCCAATTTCAAAATAAGCTATGCAATTGACGTAGCTCTATTTGCGTAGCTTAGTTTGAGTTAAGCCCTGCTGTGTAGACGCACCTTAGAGAAGTAATAAAACAAGGACTTAAATATTAGGGAAGAAAAAAATCTATATAGCTGGAATGTGGTAATAATGAACCACAAACAGCATGTGTTTCTCTACAACAATTCATATCAAGCCAATTTGATAATTTTGGCTACAAATTACTGAATAAGTGGGTAAAGGAAAGAGCCTATGTTCCAGGACTTCAGTATTTGATCTAATGACTCTCACAATTTTTCATAAAATGTTAATTCAAATTGAGTCGCCCAATGATTTCAAGTGATGACTAAAGGTAACTGGCAATCAAGCTGTGGGGAGGTGTTGGAGTTGATTTGGGTCCCAGCCTTATTTAAAATCCTTAATAACCAGGAAGAGAATGTGAAGTATACTGACTGAATTAGAATGGAAGGTATTGTGTATCGCCCCCCCAAGGAAGATATTAAAATACAAGGAAGCAGAAAAGATCAAAATACGGCACAAGTACAAAATATTACTAATTATTATTTGTATTACCATCACACCTAGGAACCCTTTTTGTGGAGCTAGATGCAGCACACACACAGAAAACAAGAAGACAACACAGAGATACAGAGAGCTAGTGGAGTACAAGAAAACAATTAGACACTATTTGTCAGCATAACAGGCAGTAACTGAAGGATTTATCTTGGAAACTAAAGCTAGTATATCTTCAGGTACTAGAGGGGTAGCCGTGTTAGTCTGAATCTGCAAAAGCAGCAAGGAGTTCTGTGGCACCTTATAGACTAACAGAAGTGTTGGAGCATCAGATGAAGTGGGTCTTTGCCCACGAAAGCTTATGCTTCAACACTTCTGTTAGGCTATAAGGTGCCACAGGACTCCTCGCCGCTCTAGTATATCTTGGAAAACAATTCAAACTCAAATCTATGCCAACAGAAAGAGATTTTGAAGAGCTGAGAGAGGGCAAACCTTGCAACGAAAGAGTGGGTCTTCTTATTTGGGAGCTGCATGCAAAGATGTATCATGGCCCAGAATCATGTCATGTCCTTTGTGAACTTAGAATAATGCTCAGATTGGAATATAAGAAACAATATAAGCGATATTTTAAAAAATGCAGCAAAATGTTTAAAGACAAAAAGGAACAGCCTTCTGACAAAAGAGGACAGAGTAAAATAGAATTTGACTAAATGACAACAAAGAAAGACAACACTCTCTTCTGTGTATCTCCAAAGACACGCAGATGGCCTACAGACATCATGGGATGAAATAAAACAAAGGAAAAGTCAGAATAAACATTAGGAAACATGTCTTAACTGTGGGACCTGTTAGGCAGCGGAGTCATTTGCAACTGGACCATCCACTGAAGTGTATGTTGTACTATAGGGAACCAGAGATTGGCAAAGGAAATGGTCTAGGTGAGCTGACAGGTCTTCTCGCTAATTTCAGTTCTTAAACTGAGACTTATCCTGAAACATAACAAGGCACAACAGGCTGCCCCATCAGAATTCTGTGTTGAGGAAATAAGTCTCAATTGTGAAGTTAGTTTCTATGGTTTGTGCTAGAACTTTTAATGGATTTTCAGTGCAGTTTTTGTTGGCTTGTTTTAACACATGGATAACTATTACTGTGTGAACCACAAAACCAGTTTTCAGAGTTAACATGTGGCTGATTGGGCATCAAGAACCAAGACAGAGACTATTTTAAACATGTGTCTTAGTTTTGTCCCATGGACTAAAACCACCTGAACTCCAGGGATGAAATAGATTTGGATAAGCTGTGGGGATGCCACATGAAACACTGACTCTGGGGGGAAAACAAGGTTCTGTACACGATGACGCAGCCACACGGAACCATAGTGAGGCATGAACCAGGCAAAGGAGCAGTTTTTAATGGCAATCAAGCGACCATAAAAGTGAATAAAAATAGATTTGACAATGTACAACTAAAAAACCAGATGGATTATTTCAATTTTTTTTTTCAAAATGACTCCCAGGCTGAGGCCTTGTTTGCCAATTATAAGCCCAGAGTGGGCTTTTACAACTGAGCAATATACCACTATAAGGGAAAGCCAGAGCCTTAAGATATACACTATAGCTAGAGAAGAGATGTTAGAATATTTACTTCCATATTTAAAATAATAAATCAATCATCTAGCATAGTTACAGAATCCAGTCCTGAAGTCCTGTAAAAAGTATTAGCAGATCTTACGAAATATGAATCACTGCCTGTTTTATGCCATTAAATATCCATCTGTCTTGATTATTAGGACTTTAGGCTCTCCATTTCCAAATAAATTTACATTGGGAGTCACAGACTTATTGCTGGTCATAACATCAAGAAGAGCATCCCTAAACCTCTGCCTGCTGGAAGCTGGAACTGGACAACAGGGGGTGGATTACTTGATAAATTGCTTTGTTCAGTTAATTCCCTCTGACGCTTCTGGCACCCACAGAAGTTAGGATCCAGGGTTAGATAGATCATTGATCTGATCAAGAATGGTCATTATGTTCTTAAGTGTTATAGCGACAAAGTGAAGGAGGGAAACAAACCGTTTTCTGTATTTTTGATAACTAAGGCAAGAAAATGCCTAAGAAGCAAATTCAAATACTATGCAAAGGCCTAGAAAAGGGGGTGGTTTTCTTTTCTCCTATAAATGAGGCAATTGGAGGGAGTTAACCTTAAAACATGACTGAAGCATACAAAAAACAATTGATTCTTTAAGATGCAATTGGTACAAAAATCCAAGGCTCCAAAAGTGTTTGGTGTATCACACACGAGTGATAACACAACAGTTTTAGCAATATTTATGAGGGTATCACTTAGCCTTTTCTGAGCTCTGCTCTGATGTTTAGGCCTCTATATTCCTTTTACCCTTTTCTACCCTGCTTTACTGAATTACAGTTTGTTTACACCTCAAGACAGAGACGAAATTACAAGACAGTTTTTAACACGGCCTTTATTAGGCTGCACCCTTAAGATGGTTATTTTTGCTTTTTTAGCTAGGTTTTTTATAAGGTCACCTGTTCCGTGGGATCTGTGAGTTTTCAGAAGTCAGTAACATGCCTTTATTAACAGAGGAACATGCATATAAAATAAAGGAGATGGGTCAAAGCCCTGGCTGCAAGATTCCTTTATGTTACTGTGCCACAAGGGGCTCCAGGTAGGATATTTTCCTAGTGTCACCAGTTTGTTGTCATCTCAAAACCCTTCTTTCTTGTTAACTTATTTAATTAGAGACCCTGCTCTTTGTAGATGCTAGGAATTATTAAGAAAGGGATAGAAAATAAGACACAGAATATCTTACTGCCCCTGTATAAAACTATAGTACGCCCACATCTTGAATACTGTGTACAGATGTGGTCTCCTCACCTCAAAAAAGATATTTTGGCCTTGGAAAGGGTTCAGAAAAGGGCAACTAAAATGATTAGGGGTTTGGAACGGGTCCCATATGAGGAGAGGTTAAAGCGACTGGGACTTTTCAGTTTAGAAAAGAGGAGACTGAGGGGGGATATGATAGAAGTATATAAAATGATGAGTGGTGTGGAGAAGGCCGATAAAGAAAAGTTATTTATTAGTTCCCATAATAGAAGAACTAGAGGACACCAAATGAAATTAATGGGGAGCAGGTTTAAAACTAATAAAAGAAAGTTCTTCTTCACACAGCGTGTAGTCAACCTGTGGAACTCCTTGCCAGAGGAGGCTGTGAAGGCTAGGACTATAACAGAGTTTAAAGAGAAGCTAGATAATTTCATGGAGGTTAGGTCCATAAAAGGCTATTAGCCAGGGGATAGAATTGGTGTCCCTGGCTTCTGTTTGTCAGAGGGTGGAGAGAGATGGCAGGAGAGAAATAGCTTGATCATTGTCTTTGGTACACCGTTTCTGGGGCACTTGGTGCTGTCCACAGTCGGCAGACAGGATACTGGGCTAGATGGACTTTTGGTCTGACCCATCTATGTTCTTAGATGGTGCATAGTGTTATGAAGAAAGAAAAAGTGCAATCCACAGTAAACATTAACTATACTGATTCTGTTCTAATTCTTAAAAATTTCCTTTAAGGGAAAGCACTACTCTAATACTAAGAACTAAATATAGTGCTGAAATGTGCAATGCGCTTGTAAAAACACACAATAAGACATCTCTGCTTTCAAGAGCTCACAGTATAAAAAAAGCATTTCACAGCCAAAAGGGGTTTTAAGATTATAATTACACTGTGATCTGTATCACCGCTCTTACACCATGACCAGATCTTAAAGCAAATGCATCTGCATTCATGTATTTTGCTACTTTGCACAGACCGGGAGGTTCACGTTTATGGTAAAATACAGTTCTCCTTTAGAAACAAAAGGAAAATTTTTTAAATCAAAGTTCTTGGAT